AAAAGGCAGCGAAGCAATTACTATAGTACTATACTCAGGAATTTGTGTTAACAGTATCTATGGTAAAGAAGAAAATAGAGTACACTTCTCTCAGTGCTAGATTTGCATCATATGAAGATGTTAATGGCACTTTGAAAGAGAAGATATCTACCTATGTATTATACAATGTTTGATAAATTAAGATTATTCCATTAAATAGTTTGAAGCCAATCCAGAGAAATTGTAGTTTGGATTTCTTGAGTGCAATGCCCATTTCAGAGCAAGAGATAGGAAAATTACATTCAAGGAGTGCTGCATACTTTTAAAGTCAGATCATATTTGGATAGGAGTACAAACATTTTAAATGGAAAATAATAAATATTTCGAAGTTTGAAACTGAAAGTTATATAGCAATTTTAAAGCACAGAACATCTGAAATTAAGCTCAAATACATTTTTGTGGCTTTAGATCACTTTAAATAAAATGCACACAGAGACCACACCAATACATTTTTATTTCTGTCTAAAATTATGCTGTGGAATGAAAGTTATACTTTGTCTAACCAAGAATGGAAAGCTATACCAGCAGGCCCAGCTCTATTCCTGTTGAACCAAATGCGGAAAATATAAAAGACATAGCGCTTGTAGTTCTCACAGTATATTGTGTGCTGAGTCTTTCTAATTTGAAACCGCACTGTATTTTGGCAGTGCTAGGAGTAAACACTCCACTACAAGCCCCAATTTGGCAAACATTTTGGCACATGCTTTTTGCATACATTGTCAGTTTCATGATGTTGCAAAGTAATCATACATCACAATTCCACAATGGCACTACTCGCTGAGCAAAGTTATGTATATTTGCAGAATCGGGGCTTTTATTTGCATATGGTCACAAATGGTTCTGAGCAATAAGATGCATTTTAAAAGGATTAAAGTATAATCTGTTGTACAAAGTGTGCAAAAAAAATGTGAGGCCTTTGAAAATGGAGATGTTTACATTTCAGTTTTCCAAAATGGTAGATTGTGGCAGGGCCTTCTGGCTCCTGACTCTGCTCTGGTCCACACACTGCTCAGAGACCCTTGTGCTGGTCAAACACCTTGTGGAGTTTATTTACAGTGGGTTCCCACCACCTTCATACTATATACAGCTTTGCTCCAACAGTCCTACGGAACACCCAGCTCCTGCAACAAGCAGGGAAGAGCCATCTCTCTCCTCTCCCTGCTACTTGCTTTCCCTCCTTCTACTTCCTTCCTCTGCCTAATGGCTTAATTAGCCTTCCAGCTCTGCTCCACCCACAAATTAGGCATAGTGTTTAACCAGCTCCATTCTGCATTGTTTGACTGGAACCACTGAGTGCTGGCTCAGCTGTTCTTGCCCAGCAGTGTCACAGTGCTATTCAGTGTAGTGAAAAACCTGGAGTTCTGTGGGCTGTCTGCTGAATGTAGGAAGCTCTAAGTAAAAAGTGGTCACTTTAAACTGATCATTTTCTCAGATGAAAAAATGAAAAGCTTTTGAAGCAGAAAGTATGAATTTTAAGTATTTATGCGAAAATACAATAGTCATTGAAAGAATTGAAAAGCACGTGGAAACAAAAAAGTGAGATATTTCACAAAAAAGGGCTGCTTTCTAACGGTTCTAGTCTAATGTTGAGGTAATTATATATAAGCATTAGATATGGATCCGATAACCTGAATCATGGAAAACAGACCCTTGCACTCACATCACACTGAAATTAATGGGACTCTGCAGGAACAAAGGCCTCCCTGTGTGGATCCAGTTATAACACTGGGGCCTAACTTCACACTCTGAAACATAAAAAGTTGTGTCTAGTTTGCAATCAACAAAGGATTGAATAAGGACTGGGAATGGCTGAGCCATTACAAACATTGAATCTATCTCCCCTTGTAAGTATTCTCACACTTCTTATCACCTGTCTGTACTGGGCTAGCTTGATTATCACTTCAAAAGTTTTTTTTCCTCTTACTTAATTGGCTTCTCAGAGTTGGTAAGATAACTCCCACCTGTTCATGCTCTCTGTATGTGTGTATATATATCTCCTCAATATATGTTCCATTCTATATGCATCCGAAGAAGTGGGCTGTAGTCCACGAAAGCTTATGCTCTAATAAATTTGTTAGTCTCTAAGGTGCCACAAGTACCCCTGTTCTTTTTAGGTAAGCAGAGTTGTGCGTCTATCAAGGTCACCTGTATTGAATGAGTAAAGGAACACAAGAGACAAGCTTTATGTGTGATCAATTATTTTATTTGTGCAGTTATCACTTTAAATTCATTACTAAAAAATGGTCATAGGCACTTCAAAGAAGTTATTTAAATATAAACTTTTGTTTATGGTGATCACTTCAAAACACGTAAGTCACCAACCATTGTCTACCACAACTGAAACTATTTTCTTGTCTCAAATTCCAGACCATTCACTGATTTTAATGGAATAGACTGCTCAGCAGCAACATGTGTCTTCCTTCAACTATTTTTTCACACAAACAGCTGCAGTTCATTTAGCAGAGTATTTTAAACACAACACACAGTAAGATGAAGAGCTGCTACATCTGCTGGGGTTCACACAATTTTTTTCTTGCCACAGTAAAAATTGGAAAGGTTAATTTCCTAGTCCTATACTAAGGTGACTATTCTCATCATGTAAAGTATCAGAGGGGTAGCCGTGTTTGTCGCTTTTTACAGATCCAGACTAAGAGTCCTGTGGCATTTTATAGACTAACAGAAGTATTGGAGCATAAGCTTTCATGGGCAGACATCTGACGAAGTGGGCATTCACCCACGAAAGCTCATGCTCCAATACTTCTGTTAGACTATAAGGTGCCACAGGACTCTTTGTCCCATTCTCATCATGGTGCGTGCACACCCAAATCATTACTATCAATGGTAGTTAAGTTATCAAGATGCCACCTCCTTCTCCAGATTATCAGAGTACGTAAACTAAAAGGGTGGCTCCTGGCTGTTTTGGGAGTAGTCTTAAAATGCAGTCACTGAAACTTTCTTTCACTTACTAAAGCATAACAGAGCTAGTAGCAACTTGTGAAAAGATTATTTGAACACTGCTTCACTGGATGGAGCTGTAGAAGCGTTCTCAGAAAGACCAGGGGGGAAAAAAAATCAAAGAGGAAAGAAAAGTTGAGCAAAAGGACAGACAAGGTATCACAAGGGAGTGTACCCACTCATGCAGACAAATACAGTGCAAATTACTATACTGAATGAACAACAACAAAGAGTGAACAGATTAAATAAAGTTCAATTGAGTCACTCCTCTGAAAACGTAACATTCAGTACCAGACCACAAGTAAGAGCTTCGGATAATTTGAGAATACGGTCATACCTCTGGAAACTAATGCATGTCTAATGAATGTACTGAAAAACAAAGCAATTAAAATATTAAGAAGCCTATTAAAAGAACAAAACCCATGTCTGACTCTCAGTATAAACCCCAGGGATTGTAGAAAATTTACTGCCAAGTAATTTTCTTAAAGAAATTTAGATTAGAATTACATGATTGGATTGTTTCAATCACTACATTGTGGCTACAGAATTCTGTCAGACTTTTTTAAAATTAAAAATCAAGAGTAATAAGCACTGTGGCATAAGGCATCCTGTGCCCCTGCACTTCCAAGGCATATTCTAAGAAAAGCAATTCATCAATTAAGGAAGGATTCCTTGTAGTAGCTTGCCTGGGCGGCAGAAGTACTCAATTTACTATGGGCTTGCTCTTAAAGTGACGACATGATACTGAAATCAGTGGCTCACAAGTGTAGAACACTATACAAGGAGGCTGCAATGTTGAAAGCCCCTCTGATAAAAGCAATCATAAAAGTTTTCCAAACGTGGCTACCTAATAAACTATCTGGTAAAATGGCTATCAAAGTAAAAACCAAGTTAATAATCCCTACATACAATTCATTTTGTTTCCATAATGATACTGGAGTTTGACAGAAAAACACAACAGTTTTAGAAAAATGTACAATAAAGTCAAGTCAATACTTCTCAATCAGTGATACTGGAAGGCAAAACCTCCTGTTCTCCTTTCTGGGCATATGTGGTGAAGGGTAGAGACAGAAGCCTTCTTAGCCAGATACTAAATCAGGGGTGGACAAACATTTTGGGCCGAGGGCCACATCTGAGTATGGAAATTGTATGGCAGGCCATGAATGCTCATGGAATTGGGGGTTGGGGTGAAGGAGAGGGTGAGGGCTCTGGGGTGGGGCCAGAAGTGAGTTCAGGGTATGGGAGGGGGCTCTGGACTGGGGCAGGGGGTTGGGGTGCAGGGGGGTAGTGAGGGCTCCAGCTGGGGGTGCGGGCTCTGGGGTGGGGCTGGGGATAAGGGGTTTGGGGTACAGGAGGGTGCTCTGGGCTGGGACCGAAGGGCTCAGAGGGCAGGAGGGGAATCAGGGTTAGAGCAGGGGGTTGGGGTGCAGGAAGGAGTCCGGGGTGCAGTCTTCGGGCAGCGCTTACCTCAAGCAGGTCCCGGAAGTAGCAGCATGTCCCCTCCTCCGGCTCCTACATGGAGGCCCGGCCAGGTGGCTCTGCACGCTTCCCCGTCCGCAGGCACCGCTCCTGCAGCACCTATTGGCAGCGGTTCCCGGCCAATGGGAGCTGCAGGGGTGGCGCTTGGGGCAGGGGCAGCATGTGGAGCCTCCTGGCTGCCCGTATGCGTAGGAGCCGGAGAGGGGACATGCCGCTGCTTCTGGGAGCCATGCAGAGCCACAGCATGTGCAGAGTGTGGCAAGCCCCGGACCCCGCTCCCCAGCAGGAGCTCGAGGGCCGGATTAAAATGTCTGAAGGGCTGGATATGGCCCCCAGGCTGTAGTTTGCCCACCCTTGTACTAAACGCTTTCTGAAGTATCCTTGCTAACACTTTATTGGAGAAGGTTATTTGCATTTCTCAGACACAGCCTACCCAATTCACTACAACATTGGCTGCCTACACCACAAGCTGAGAAGTTACAGGTCAATGGGTGACGCTGAAGGAGAGTGAGGGAAGAGAAGGGTAGTGAGGAACTATAGATTTACAATTCAGTAGGTCTTTTACATTGGCCGAGTATACAGAATTTAAAATCAAAACCATCAACTTGTTAAATGTAGATTAAATGCACCATCAGCTGTTAAGAAAATCGTTTAGCCAAGAATCTGAACAATATATTAATCACTATAGCGGTCAGTGCTTTTATAGCATATTGATTTAGCAATCCTATTGACTGTATCTCATATCTGACCTAATGTTAGTCTAATGAGTGACTCTCACATGGGAATACCTTGCTAAGCTTAATCACCTTCTACAGTTCAGCTGAAACACAAATGATAAATATTCTCCTCTGGACCAGCATCAGCATAGTCTCTCATAAAAAGCACAGCTTTTCAATCATCCAACAGGTTCAAACTTTAAAGAGTTCTAAAGGTCAATTCACAGCACACATGAAAGCTCCTACCCCTTCCAGCCTATGTGTGAGGCAATCCTGCTAGTGAAAAATACTCAAAATATTTAGATTTAAATATGAAATAATTAAACAATCACTATATGGTAACATCAGTGGTACTAGGGAACATAAATACATCCCATGTTCAGACACTGAGGAGCAGCAAACGTGGCTATGTTTACTTCACATTCATGAGATCCTGTGGTTATTGGCATCATGTCACAAAACAGAACAGAAGAAAATAGATAAGTCAGTCATGATGTTTGTTGGCAAATAACGTTTAGTGTCTCTCAAAGTCAGATAAACTACTCCAGAGTCTCCCAAAACCTCCTAGCAACATCCTCAGGAGAACAGTGGTAACCATTTTAGTAAAGCCATTCACAACCAGTAATATGACCTCATCAAAACACTGGCTAAGGGAAGTAAGGTTTTGGCCACACTCACCAAATATGATGAAGATGAAAACCAGCAAAGAAGTGATAAAGAGGCTTTTGTGAAACTGAGGACCAAAGACAGCCAATGCGTCAAGCTAGGCAGAACATAAAATTGGGTTAATGATGTATATACTATATTGATCACAAGAGCAAAAATCTATAGTTGGTGTAACCTCTGATTGCATTTTAATATATTGATAATCTGTGTCAGTCTCACAGATAACAAGTGGATCCTTTTAGCTAATTAGGCATAGAGCTACTCCCCATAGCCACATAGTGGATGAAATAAATGCACTTTTTGAAAGGGTCCTTGCATTCAGGTTGGCTTACCTGAATAACTGTGCAACACATTCACAAGACAGATAATAAAGAGCATTTAAAATGACACATGAAAATCTTAAACTGAAGGCAGAGAAAAAAGCCACACTATAAACCAGACAAAACCCTCAGAGAGAGGTGGAACTACATATTGCAGCCAAATAAAATTGAATTTGTAGGGAACATTCAAAAAAATCATAGTAGAGAACACAGTAGAGAACCTACACTGTGATTTAAAATAGTACTTTTTTGGGTGCCAGCTCACTTCCATAAGCAAAGAACCCTCCTCCTCCCCAGTAAAGCAATGTGTAAATTAAATAGAAATAAACTAATAGTAGCACTGGGCGAATCTGGAAATTACTGTACGCTAGATCATAAACGCCTGGCTGTCTACAACAAGTATTTATTGTATGACTGTAGTGTTATCACACAAACATTTTTTGGCTTACAGAATGAATACAAGGGGAGGAAATTGCACTTATAAGGGGTTTATTTCTATCATGTGTACATTAAAAAGCTTTTGGATGAATTTTGTGCCCATTCAAGCCAGGAGTACACACCAAGAGGCATAGAGTGGGCAGGTATGCAAGTTTCCACACATCTTCAACATACTCCAAGATTTATAGCCTTGCTATTCCTGGGCTTTTCGCCAATTAGCACAAGCCAACTGGGTGGTGGTTTTGTGGAACAGATAGTAGTATCTTGGGGGACGTTTATGATGAGGCCAAGAGTAACAAGTTCATTTCATTTGGGAAGTAATTCAGATTTCGACATTAAATAGGCAGAATATTACTAATTACATCAAATATTTTAAAGTCTGTTTTTAAGGCAGGAGTGGTTTTGAAGACTTTTTTCTCTCTCTTTTCAGCCAAGTTACTTCATGTCAAATTTCTCCAGTATCATCACCATCTCAAAGTGCTGAACCTATGTAGCCCAGGATTTCTAACATTAGTACTTATCCAAAATAATGGGAACTGGGGCAAAAAGAAAAATAATGACTAGAAAATACTGTATAATCGTGCTTGAACCTCACCACCATCCATTTGTTTTAATACAATAATATAAACATGAAGAAATTGTAACAAAGCCACCTCAACAGATTTCACAGATCACATAAAAGCTTTAGGGCCTGATTCTGCAGTCCTAACATGTGAAAAGTCCCACTATCCCCACGAATAAGAACTGCACAATGAAACCTGTAGTTTGCAGTCACAGAGGAAGACCCTCAACACAGAACTTTTAAAATTCAAATGAATCACTACTAGCAATTCCAGAGTCCTGTCTGAGCTAGATGTAGTTGCTTTTCACTCCATGATACTTCTTTCAGTGCATTGTTCCACATCTTATTATTGAGTAGAAGTCTGATTCCGTTTCAGGAGCTTTCTGCATCATTATCCATTGCTTTGCTTTTGATTTGCTTTTCTAGATTCTTGAGAGAGTCAGGATTGTACCTGTATAGGTAACCATATGGTCGGAGATGATAAATCAAATATTCCAACTGGTACATAGTTGTGGAATCAACATAGTGGAATGAAATTGCCAGATCAGAGCAGCATCCAGGACCCTAAAAATGGGGGGGAAAAACAAACAAAAGACTCAGAGGACATTTCAAAATATGCTTAAATGTTAAAAATAATTCTCTCTAAAGTGTAAATAATATATATGTGGCTTCACTTTATCATACAATTCACTTTTATCAATAATTCCCACATTTCAAAGCCTAAATTTTGCAGGAATAGAATACCCAGACCCTGGTATACTATTTTGCTTGATCATCATCTCCAAATGGAAATTAACGATTTTCAAGAATGCTTGATGTGCTTTAGATAGTTTCTGTGACAACATCGGGGGAGGGATAGCTCAGTGGTTTGAGCATTGGCCTGCTAAACCCAGGGTTGTGAGTTCAATCCTTGAGGGGGCCACTTAGGGATCTGGGGCAAAATCAGTACTTGGTCCTCCTAGTGAAGGCAGGGGGCTGGACTTGATGACCTTTCAAGGTCCCTTCCAGTTCTAGGAGATAGAGATATCCTTTTTTTTTTTTTTAAATGACGAAGAGCATGTCTGGTGTACAAGAGAGCAAACCAGGGTATAATTTCTAACATGTTGTGCAGTAACTGATCTGTGTGGACTCTGCTTCCCAGAATCTTCACCCATGTTTCTCCCCATCCACTTTTCCTTACCTTCAATTTTCCTCACCTATTCTCCAGGACACCTTCAACTTGGTTTCCCATGTTCTAATTCAATTGCAAGTCTCCCTCCTGGCCAGAAATAGCCAAAAGAGCTAAAGGACTTTGTTTAAAGACCTGGTGCTAGCAAGGTACTCTGATAGATTTCTGCTTGGACGCAAATAGTGAGCAACAATGGATAACCCCTCAAATTTCTTAAATCTCTAATTTTTCCACCACACTGTTTAAACTAAAGCTGCTTAATTCCCCCGCCCCCAAATTTGCAATTTCAATTAAATTTTCAAAATTTTGAAGAAAAGAAGTGGATTGTCGTTTCTACAAATTACATCCTACATTTTGACCAGCCTTAGTTCAAACTAGTCAAACTCTCACTGGAAAGACTGTGCACACAAAAAAAAGGTGACACGAAAAACTTGACACAGAAATTTAAAAAAAAATGAATCGAAGCTAGTTAATGAGACCCTAATGTGAGGAAATTACTATCTTTAAACTCAGCATGGGAGCTGAGTATGCAAGCATACTGTAATGGTTACAGAGGCCAAATATAAGGAAGTAGAAACACAGTCTGCCTTTCACTATGGTTAAATGTCAGGGATCTAGAGTTTGAAAGAAACAGGTATTCTTCAAACAATGGAAAACCAGTTCAAGCAGAAAGTAAGCTGCAGCATGTAAAACGTAAAAGGGAATATGAAGAGCAGCTAATGAAAAAGAAAAGACAAAAATAAGGAATTAAGTATATTAAAAGTAGGACGTCTGTGAGAGAAATAGTAGGTCTACTGGGATAACAGAATAAAAGGGAATAATTAACATGGATAAGAACACAGAAGAGAAACTACATTCTTTCTTTGGATCAGTGCTTACCAGGTGGATTTGGCGATCTGCCTAAAAGAGATACTCTTATCAGATAGAAGATGACATTGTCCAAAATTGAGCTGTCAAAGAGAAAGTTCTGGGACACACTGATAAATTAAATAGTAATGAGTCACCAGGAATGGAAGATACTCATTTATGATTTTTGAAGCAACTTAAGAATGAAGTGCTTAAACTGCTCAAAATATGCAAACTCCGATTAAAATCAAATTACTATGCTAGAGGACTGGAATATAGCAAGTTTCATATCTATTATTCTTCATTTTAGGAAAGTGCTAGGGTTGATCCTAAAATTGTTGAGACCCATAAATTTCATTTTCAGATGAACTGGTTGAAATGATAGAGATATGTGCTTGTACATCACCTAGCACAATGGGGTATTGATCCAGGATTAGCCCTTAGGCTATACAATACTACTACGAGTACACCTACCTGAATATGACAGGGGCAAATAAGCATGACATCTGGTCAGGAAATTCTTTAAATATGTCAACAAAGTAATGGATACAGGAGAACATGTGGACTTTCAAAAAAATTATTTGGACTTTCAAAAAGTCTTTGACAAAGTCCTTCTGAAGAGCCTAGTCAATAAACTAAACTAAGTAAAGCATTGTTATGGATTAGAAAATGGCAAAGAAATAAATCATCAATCTTCAGCCAGGAACTCAGTAGGCTTCCAAAAAAAGGGCAGCATTTATACAGTTGATAAAAAACACCCTGTTATATTAGTTATAACTTACTTCCCTTATAAGCCCTCACGCTTCAGACCATAAGCCAACTACCAGGAGTCAGGGAGAAGCTTCCCTATTGGTAAGTTATTCCATAATTGTCCATTGCTGAAGCATCTGTAATTGGCCACCATTGGAGACGAGATTGGATTAGATATGGTAAAGCAATTCTATTTTTTTTTTTTAACTGTAATACTCAGCCTGGAAAGCAGCTAACAGTTTTCCAGATACTATCTTTTAATATTGGATCCTAAATATTATCTGTTTTAATTTGTTGAAGAATGTTAGCACATTTACACCATATTCCATTAATAGCAACTTAAGTGGCGGTCATGCCTTTTTATTCCACGATCATGGCAACAGTTGCCATAAAGAAGACTTTAAAAGTCTAAAAACACGATAATCACTGGTTTCCTACCTGCGTGGACCAGGTATTTTAACAAGGGAACTGACTGCCAAGCACTCTAAAGAAATTACATCTAGAAGTAAGTGTGTGGGGGGGCGGGAGGGGAGGGGAGGAGGAAAGTGTGCCTGTGTTTTTTATATACACCTCTACCCCGATATAACGCTGTCCTTGGGAGCCAAAAAAATCTTACCATGTTATAGGTGAAACTGCGTTATATCGAACTTGCTTTGATCCGCCGGAGCAAGCCGTCCTTCCCCCCCCTCCGGAGCACTGCTTTACCACGTTATATCCGAATTCGTGTTATATCGGATCGTGTTATATCGGGGTAGAGGTGTATCTCCATCCCTCCTGATTTAGAATGTAAATACTTAAAGATACATCATATATGCTATCCGTTCAGAAACTGCTGCAACTACATAAATATTTTAGTTATTACTAAGAAGAAGCTAAACATGTCAAAATATTCACTCCATATGGATATTTATAGAAATAAAGTATAGAATTTATTGACACTTTTCAATCCAAAGCACTTTTCAGGCTGCTTTCATTCACTTGCAACTGAAACACCAAAGTTTAGGCCAATCCTACAAATCATTCATAAGCAGAACTCCGATGTGCATGAAAGACTGGGTCCTTTAACAGTAATTGAGGGAGCATTTAAAGCAAACAAAATAAAATTATCAAGACTAGTTTTTAACCAGAGGTTCAAGCCTAATAAAATTTAGCACTTAGTGATTTAGGGAGAGATTTTCAATAACACAGGAGAGAGTTAGATGTCTCACTCCCCGTTGTGTCTGTGAGAAGTCTCCTCTTATAGTATACAATAGTTTAAAATGGTGTATAAACACACAACTAATTAGTCCTGCTCCCCCTCAGGAGAGTCCATTCTACAAAATGGAGAAATGGAGGCAGAAAAACACAGAAATTTGCCCAAGATCTAGTGAGAGCCAGTGGCAGGGCTAATAGTAAACCTCAGAACCAATCATATGATCATTCCTACAGATCATGCCGCACCTTTAATTACAAATGCTAACCAGTTCTTTACAAAAAATACTATTAGAAGTTTCACTGTTTTATGGTTAAAATATTGATAATTGAGACCTAGGTTTTATACATAATCCGTGTCTGTCACGGAGGTTGGGGAAGTCATGGATTCCATGTCTTCCTGCACTTCTGTGACTTCTGCAGTGGCCAGTGTGGCTGACCCCAGGTCCGCCCAAGCAGCTGTCCCTGGGCCCGGCTGCAGCTTGTTGCTCAGACAGCCACACTGGCTGCTGTTGGAGGGGGCCAGCCGCACCGGCTGCTGCGCTGGCAGCCGGCCCCAGGGACTGCCTGAGCAGTGGTCCCGAGGGCGGCGGGAGGAGCTGCAGCTGGTGGCACCTAGCAGCGGGCCCCCCCACAAGCAGTGGCCCGAGCAGCAGCAGCAGGCCTCCCCCAGCAGTTGCTGCCGCAGGCCCGCGTGGCTCCCCGCACTCACCCCCAAGATTCAATCATGGGTATTTTTAGTAAAAGTAATGAACAGGTCATGGGCCATGATTTTTTGTTTATTGCCCGTGACCTGTCCATAACTTTTACTAAAAAATACCCATGATTAAATCGTAGCCTTACTCATTAGAAATGAATACATGAGTAATCACAAAGCTGAAGGTAACAGATCTAGTTTCTACACCCAGCTGAGACATTCAGTAGGACTGGCAAAGGACGCAGAACTATTTTGGCAGATATCAGTGGATGCTCCTTTAATTGCAGTTTCATGCATGAAATTCTCTTCCAGATTTATCACGAGAAAAAAGGATATAAACTTACAACAGTGTTTTTTGACTCCACAGACTATGTCTAAGATTTCCAAAGGAGTCCGCACCTCCATTCAAAAATTTTTTTAGAGGTTCACAAATGAAAAAAAAGGTTGAAAACCCCTGAATTACAATGTCTATAAAGATATTTCCCTCACCCTCAACACTATAGGTACCTGACATTTAACTAAAAATATGCAGATATAGAAAAATTAAAGATGACTAAAACCGGAGTAAACACTCACATTAAAAAAGTTAACTTTTATATGCCAAGCAACTTGCTTCCACAATTTCCACTGAGAGACCATTCCATTGACTTAAATGTAATTATGTGTACGTATTTTATATATTTCACTATCAAAACTAGTTGCAAGTACGTTTCTGAATATCGTTTTTTAAACACAATTCTTAGACACACAGTTTGGACCTATACACACCAACTAGATATGTTCAAAACCAGTTTAGGGGGCAACTGTGTTTAAATAATTGAAAGGGTCCTTCTTAATCAAGGATGGGGACTAAATCAGCTGAGGCTACAGTACTGTACTGAGCTTTGAACAACATACCCACCATCTCTTTTTTAAATATTTGCTTCTTGGAATAAGACAGGACAATGCAAGTTCCAGTGTTATTTTTTGCATCTCATCTTTACTGTCCTATTATATTACTCTAAAAGTACTATCAAGACAGTCTCTTAAAAGTGGGACAGAAGATTTCTTCTATTTACTAAATGGCACATTTTATCACTTGATTATTACAACCATGCTACATTTGAACACACCAAGAATGGTTTGGTGGTGTTATGAGACAGGTGGGATTTCAAAAATATTCCGTGATGGCCTAATTCTGCTCTCAAATGAAATGGGAGTTTCACCACTGACTTCAAGAGGAACTGTTTCAAAAGCACCCAGTGTTAGTGTAATTCCCACTCCATTTACAGATAAAGTTACCACTGCTGTTAGATTTACAAATCTAACTAGTTTTAAGATGGAACTTGATAAATTTATGAACAAGGTGATATGATGGGTTGCCTGTGATAGCATGGACTCAGTGACAGGAGGTCCTTTTCAGTCCTGTGTACCTTACCTTTAGGTTGTTAATAAGGCTCTTGCAGAGATTACACACAAACCAGATTTTCTGATATGAGTACCTTCAGCCCTCATTACTTTCAAGAACTATAGCTCTCATTGATTAGAATGAGAGATACAGGTCTCCATGTCTCTGCAAATCAGGGTCAACAATAAGGACCTCACATTCAGTTTTAAATTGGTAGAATTTGATTTTAACCTAAAAAAAAAATATCAATCAGTTATTGCAATTTAATAAAAGAGGTGCTAAAAAGCCAAATTCCACCACTTGCACTCACTGCAAACTTCTCATGTTCCCCTCAACTTTGACAGGCAAATAGTATCCTCTAAAATTACAAAAGGAAATTCATTGTAGGGATTCTCAAACTAGCATGGACCACACCTTAAATTTTCTCATGGACCACATATTCCTTCCCATTATGATTGCATAATAAGTTGCAACTACAGTAATTGTCGACATGGAAAGATAACATTAGGGAACAATATTTACGTATTTTAGCTGCCTTTTAATGTGATTTAGCAACAGGAAACAAGAAGAAGCCAACATCCTGTGATAAACCAGTTCTCCATACAGCACAAGAGTTATATAGAAGAGACCCACTGGAGCATCCAGTCCATCTTTTACAACATTAGAACAGTAAAAGTAATTTCAGATTAACTTATTCTCATGGAACACTAGGTATGGTACTTGCTTTCAAGTTTTAATTTATAAATGGAATATATAATGATTCCACCCTTAAATCTGTCTAAGGCACCCACAACAAAATCATTTTATTTTCCCAGAACATTTTAATAATGGACAGTTAAATATCTTTTTATATATACAGTGATTATAGGCTAACTTCAGAAATGTACTTCATACAATGAACACAGCCTTTCTTAAAAAAAAACCAAAAAAAAAAACTTAACCTCTATCGGAGGATAATAATTATAATTCCAGTACCAAAATGTTCTAGGTAGATATCCTCTGATTAAGTGATGTTCTGGCACAAAGGGATGAAAAGTTTCTTTACCACTTGTGTCCCTTGAATCTCCAGCTTCTACATTAATATTCTCCATGCATTTTCCGAGTGCTAGGTCTTCAATAGAAGAGCTATGAGAACATTTGTTGGTTTTAAATGCATTAACAAATCTCCTTAGAGCTTCTTTGCTCAGTACATATCCTGCTCCTCCACTCATGTAGCCCTGTTTCACATAAGGCTTAAACCTTCTTCCAAAGTATATTGGTTGTTCGGGATTGTATTTTGAAAGAAGCCATCTCAAGTTGTCCAGTATAACATATGTGTCATCATCTGCTTTCATAAACCAATCAGCATCGTCAATATAATGGTCATGTACATACTGGAAGGCTTTAATAGTTTTCCAGTACAGTTGGTCCCTGCCTTCTTTGGTTTCTAGTCCCACAGCTGGAAAGTCTTTATTCTCCTCAGAGCTCATAAATAGTATTTTATTGCAACGCTGGGCCCAAGTTGCCTTAACATGCTTGGCTTTTTTCTCTAGATTCTGAGGCCCAGTCATTACCCAACAAAGTATTTTCACCTTCTGATACAGTCCTTCTGCAATATTTTTGTTCTCATCTAAAGGGGGAAAGGGAGGGGGGGGGAAGAAATTCCATGATACGTTAGCAAACACACTAAGTAGTAACACAAATGGAAAAGTACAATATAAAAGATTCAGCAATGCTTAAGAAAAAATAAGTTGTTAGCCATTAAGAAAGTGCAGAGAGATGAATGGGAAGAAGTCCAGTATAGATGCGCATCAGATGAGGCTTCTGTTTTGGACAACTTTTTTCTGTCATATTTAATATAAGACAAGTCATGTACAGCCCAATTTACATTACCTGAAATTTGGTGACCAACATTTGTCTTTTATTTTCTTCAGTCAGCAAGACCAAAATTAAATTCAGGAATGAAAAAATTTAAATTATTTTCAAATACTTAGTTTTACAAAAGAAGTAAAAGGGATACTATTAAGATCTTCTCACAAAAAAACCAAACATGGTTTTACAAAACCTTACATGAATTTTAAAAAATTCAACTCAATTTTATTTAAAAGAATTCTCTGGTAGACTTACGAAGCTAATGAAAACCTTTTAAAAAACTGACTAAATGTAAAAATTTGAAGCCAGTCAGTCTATTTTTTTTTAACAGTCCATGCTAAGTAAAAAAATATTTATGGTGAAGAGCAAATTAGATTTTTTTAAAATGTTTAGTTTTAATACCTAAAATGTTAATAATTACAAATTTATTTTAAAATAACTGTCACCAACCATGGAAACTGGTTTTCAAGTTAAAAGCAGCAAGTAAGCCAGAAAAGGCAACTTGTCACCAGAAACCAAATTAAATCTTTATTTACTGAAAGGAGACAAGAAATAGGTTCTGCAATACTGTGATAAAAATCGTTATTGCTGTATCTGAAATACTTTTCATTTCCAGATACAATGACAACTTAATCAGATAAAAAAGTCTACACCTATTTAAGGTTTAAATAGGTTTCAGGTTTAAAACTCATGCACCAATACTGCAACTGGACCCAAGTAGATGCACCCCTGTGCCTACCTAGGCATGGTCTACACTACAATTAGTTCAACTCAAGCCAGCTTACGTTGACCTAACTATGTAAGTGTCTACACTGCCCCTCTATGCCGACTTAATAACTCTACCTCCACGAGAGGCATAAAATCAATGTAATTAGGTCAATGCAGTGTCAGGGTAGACGCAGTGTTGCTTTCATCAACTGTTACTAGCTTTCAGAGGCCATCCCACAATGACTCACACTGACAGTACAATCGGTACAAGAACTCCTGTTGAGGACACGCAACACTGACACAAGGAGCTTAATGTGGACACGCAAAATCAATTTAATTACTGCAGCAGCTGAATGATGATGTAATTTAGGCTACATAATTCTGTAGTGCAGACATGCCCATAGTGTCCCCACTGCCTTCAAAAGACTACATGTAAGTCTATGAGATTCAGGTTCAGATCAGAGTGCTGGATGGGGACCTAAAAATGTTTGTTTACCTTTATACAAGATCAGGCCAATTTTCCTTACAATAATTTACTATAATAGTGTGTACATTTCAGAGAACAAACAGGTTTGTACGTGTTTTGCAGTTTAAATATATTTAGTTTTAAGTTACTCATTAGTGGCCTGGCTCTGCAAACCCTAACATAAGTAAGTAGCTTACTTACATAAGTAGTCCCATTGCAGACAAGATTTAGGCTCTAAATGTTACAGTTAATCATTCTGACAAAATATATCCACTGTAAGAAAAAAAGTGCATGGAATTGCAAATAAATATGGTTATTTGTTTTGAGTGCCTGAGAACAACAAAATTAAAGTAGAGTAGAATTAATTTGTTTCTGAATGAATATGGCTTTGGATTGCCAATTATCCTTTTCATCACCAATTGGCTGGTATGTATTTTTTGGTTATGAGATTAAGTCATTTAATTCCCCGATGAAAGTCAGACCACCCCAGCCTCACGCCATTATATAAGTTGCCTGTGTTAAAATGAAACGGGGAAGGGGGGAGGGGGACGACAACCTCCCCTTGAAGATCTAGTAGGTAGAGCAAAGGGCTAAAAGCTAGGAATCTTTAGCTCTATTTTCTTTTCTGTCACAGATCTGTACAACCTTGAGCAAGTCATTTAACTTTTCTATGCATCAGTTTTAATACCTCAAAAATAGGTATTTATCTGCCTCACGGGGCTGAGGTGGTTTAGTTAATGTTTGTGAAACACTCTGAACTTACACAGAACTTTATTTATATAATGATGTTATATACTACATGCTTCAGACAACCAATGTCTATAGCATTTTTCCCCTCCCAAAATGTAGACCGCTTGACTGATCAGGTTTAAAGAATAGTGGGCTACTTTTAAAGTTTCACTTTTATTTGAAAAGCTTAATCACAAATTATAGATGCTGCTAAATTAGCTTAAGTAAAACTAAAAAGCAATCTAGCTGCCTATGAAGTACTGTGATTGTGTCAAATGAGCAGAAAAAAATCTCGGTTGTAGTTTACCACTTAAGAAGCTCCAGGAGCCAAACTTTAAACCGCTACCTCCATTTCCAAGTCTGGATGCAACTGTTGAAAAGTATTGTGCTCTCTGAAAAAATCACACTTATTAGAAAATGCAAGTTAGTAAAGAAAAAACAATCATTCAATGCCTTAGGAGGGGAAACCTACGTGATTTTATATTGTGTGTGCACATGTAATAAGAAAAACTTGTGTATAAATACCTAGCAATGAAGAAAGAAAAATGTCAAATTGGAACATAATGTTCCCTCTCCTTTTACATTGTACAAAACAAAAAAATACCTTGATGCTGCCCAGCATCAGCATTGAAGTTCATTTGTCCTTCCAGCTGATCACTTCCAGTTTCTTCTGAGTGTTCACCATGGGGATCATTGTGAAGAATATTAGGTTGGATCTCAACCTGTTTTTCCAACACTATGCTAAATAGCATGTAACATGTGAAAAATCCTATTGTTGATCCAAATGTGAAGGTTAGAAGATTCAGCAAAGATTTAGAAGAGGCCATTTCCTGAAGGCAATATGCTGTCAAGAAAGAAAGTAACATTAAGTTTTTCTAAGCTAAGTAAGGGACATATAGGGGAGTGTGAAAAAGAAGTCAAATGGCAAACCCAGGGCCTGATTCTAGAACCCTCATTCATGCAGAACTCCCATTACTTGAACTAGAGTTCTGGGTGACTAAGAGCAGCAAGATTAGAACCAATATTTATTCCTTTGTATATAAAGGAATACAGAAGTGGAAGCATTTTATATAAACATAAAAGAGGATATTCGAAAGGCAAAAAAGTAGTGTGTGTAGAGACACACATCCCCTTTTATTTACATTTTTCCCCAACTGCTCCTAACAAGTTTGCATATTACAAGAGTTAAGGACACAAACAGTAATAATAATCATAAAAAAAAGTCAAACAGATAGAAAAAAAAATCTAAAAATACTCCCAATCCTAGAATGAACTAGATCTTATCTGTGCATTTTTCTATCAATGTCTTGTCCCCCCCACCCCTCCAAGAAACAGATAGATGTGGGATGTCCTGAAAGTCACCAAATCCAGGCTCTGATGGGACAATGGGTACGTCTTCGCTACCTGCCGTCCATCTATCGGGGATTGATTTATCGTGTCTTGTCTAGACGTGATAAATTGATCCCCGAACGCACTCCCCGTCGACTCTGGAACTCCACCAGGGCAAGAGGTGGAAGCGAAGTCGACGGGGGGAGACGCAGCCATCAATCCCGCGCCGTGAGGATGGGAGGTAAGTCGATCTAAGATACGTCGACTTCAGCTACGCTATTCACGTAGCTGAAATTGCATATGTTAGATCAATATCCCCCCCACCCCCGCTCCAGTGTAGAGCAGCCCAATGAAAAGTAAATTCTAAAGTCAAGGAGCCCACCCTGAGAAAAACCCTGTTTTCCGCTTTCTCATATTTTAAATAGAGGGTTGATAGCTTGAGACAGTATGCATAGGGAGAGAAGCCAGTAAACCACAAAATGAGTTTTTATAAGACAAAACCAACACCTTAAAGCTCTCAAATAGCCAGTAAACCACAAAATGAGTTTTTATAAGACAAAACCAACACCTTAAAGCTTCTGCTGAAATTCAGCTAGTAGATTTACATGTGCTTAATTCTTTGCAGGATTGACTTGAATATCAATTTCTTTATGAAAAGAGCTTTTAAAGTCTAAAAAACCCATTGGGACATGACATTTATATGCAAACATAAATAGAATTCCTAAAAGCAAGCAAGAGAGATTATTTTTATTCACAAATAATTGTATTACCACATACAGTAGTTCCCATTAAAATTAGTGCATAGGATTTAGATACAATCAACAGGAGGTTAAACCTCAATATGTTCTAGAGAAGTGCTTCTCAAAGCCGGTCTGCCGCTTGTTCAGGGAAAGCCCCTGGCAGTCCGGGCCGGTTTGTTTACCTGCCGCGTCCGCAGGTTCGGCCGATCGCGGCTTCCACTGGCTGTGGTTCGCCGCTCCAGGCCAATGAGGGCTGCGGGAAGGGCGGCCAGCACATCCCTCAGCCCGCGCCGCTTCTCGCAGCCGCCACTGGCCTGGAGCGGTGAACCGCGGCCATTGGGAGCCGCGATCAGCCGAACCTGCAAACGTGGCAGGTAAACAAACCGGCCCGGACCGCCAGGGACTTTCCCTGAACAAGCGGCGGCCCGACTTTGAGAAGCACTGTTAGAAGTCCTTGTACATACATGTAAGTGTAGAATTTCAGTGTAAAATATTGAGTATTGTTCTGCTTTTTGGGATCTGTAAAGGCACCCTGAAAGATTTCCTTACTCCCTTCCTCCAGACTTGAATCTCCCACCCACACACACACCATTTCTTAGAAATATGGTTTTCTGTTTTTGCTACATGCTTGAGAATTTCTTGGATGACCCAAATGTGCAAGTCAGTCTTAACAGCTCTTAATTCACAGTCAAACCTTTAAAAAAGATTTTTCTCCCAAATGTGAGTTCTAGGTATTAAAAAACTCAAACACACACAATGGAGGGGGAATAGGGGACACAGAGTGACTAGCATGAGGAAGGCATTGCAGGGAATAGAAACAGAGAGGATGGAAAGGTGGCATGCAAAGAGCTTGTGATGGGGTATGGAGGAATGCAAGGAGCCCCTATTGTGTGCAATAAGCTTAGTGTACAGAACAACAATTTATGGAACCCCCTAGTTTTTTAAAGAAATTAACCTTAGATTTGACTTCACTTCAAACTAAGGAAAATTTTAAATGTGTTATAGTCTCATTCCAATCTGTAAGGATGAGCAACTCACTTCCAAGCAAATCTAGAACTCTGTACAGCAAATGCGTGGCATCAAGCAACGCCCCAGCAAGGGTGGTTCTATGTCACATTTTTTACATTACAGAAAAGCGGCATTTAAAATGATTGTTCTGTTGTCTGCAATACATTTGATCTACAGAAGGGCTATAATTACTCTTTGTACACAATCTATTAGAGAAGCAGAATGCAGAATGGTTCTTGAGGTCAAATCCTGACCTGATTCTGCAAAAACTTTCACACAACTATTATTGTTATTATTTGCATTACTAGTGCCTGGATGTCTAGTTATGGACCATGACGCCACCGCGATTTGCTGTGTTTGTATAGCACACAAAGACACTGCATGCCCCAAAGAGCTTACAGTTGGAGGAGTCCCATTGACATCATTGAGTTTACGCATGTGTATAAAGTTAGGCACGGGTGCAACTCCTGGAAGGATTGGGGGACTATGTGAGCCATTTACTATGATCTTGTACAAGCAACTTCAACTCGTTGTATCTTGGTCAACTAGATGGGAAAATAGAGTTCTAAAAAAAATAAAAATATCACTAAACATCAGATTCTACACCAGGAGCTAAAATTTTTGTAAGAATGAACAACTGTACACAACAGCCTGCCATTTTTTTCCAAAAAAAGGCCTATGAGAAATTAATCTTAGAATTCAGACAAATGAACATAAAAGATATATTAGAAAAAGCTAATAAAATAATATTTCTTCTGTGAATGCAAACTATAAGTTATTAGTCATACGGGGCGGCACTATTTCCCAGCTTCCAGAACCAGCAATTTACACCACTTAAAAAATGTAGCGTGATAGAAACAAAGTATGTTTTATACTTTTGTTTTTTTACTGGGTTCCTGCCAAACTAATTGGACAGCTACTTGAAGTATCACAAACTTCAAGGCTGTATTGGTCATTAACTGCTAGGAAAGAAGTGAAACTGAAAACAAAAATACATTTGCAGTGCACAACTTGAGATGAATTAGAAAAAAAAAATTCTATTAAGCTTATAACTGCAATGAGGACCTCTGAGTTGGGGATTTCCTAACTGTTAATGATTAGCTGGAACATTAACTCCAACTCACCACAGCAGTCATTAATCCCTAGACTATATTCTATGCCTCCACCATTATAGCTTTAATACTTATTTATTGCTTCAGATCATGAAACAAGCATTTTAATTATTAAAATTCATATATATATATATATATATATATACACACACACACACACATCTGTCGT